CTCCACCACAGCTGGACTACCGCTATCAAGCTCCACAGATGTCGGGCCGCCTGGTTATCGCCGCTGCTGAAAGTACCGCCACAGTTGTCGAGCCAGTGTTGTCATTGTCGCTGCTGTTGGTCCTCTACTGCTTGGTAGCGCTCATCGCTAGATCACCACTTCTCAATCGTTGCCACCACCATTGTTGTCATTAGACCACCATTGACCAATTGTCACCATCACGACCGTCACTACAGGCACCGCCACTAGCATCTAGTAGCCACCATCGTCGGATCACAACCATTGTTGTTTCCAAACCGACGTCATCATCACACCCTCACTTTTCTGTTGTATTACACCATTCCCCCTAGCAGAAGTCACGTGGCTTATGTAGCATTGCTCATGCTCAGTTAAAGTTCAATAAAAACTTGTAACCTTCATTCATATAGTAGAATATTTTCAACTAGGTTAGACTATGTGATTTTTGTCATTTTGTGTTTTTCATGTCAAAAGTTTTGTTGTCTTCTTTATAAATTTCATTTTAAATAGGTGTGTTAGATGTTGATATAACACTAAGCCATTAATATATTACTCTACCGCCGTAAATTTACGACATATAACACCTTAAATAATAGGGTCTACTTAGGCCTTTAGCAAAGATGATGTCAATGATCTAGCGCTGGTTGTTGCTAGAGATGATTTTTTTTTTTGGGGGGGTGGGGGGATTAAGCACAGCTATGTTAGTGGTCAGCGTAATAATAAAACCCTTAATCTCAACACTTAGTTGATTTTTTCTTAAGTCTGTCATTATTGTATGAAATAAGATTTTTATAAGCCTTTAAACTTATGATGTGTCTTGAATGCTCAGAGATTTTTTAATGATGCTGCTCTTCCAAGTTTGAATGAATAAAAAAAAAAGGATCAGATTACATAAACTAATGTTTCATCAAATGAGCTGTAAAATTATTAAATTAATCCTAAGATTACTGTAATATAAGAATGATTAATTAATTTTTATAATATATTTATTTTAAAATAAATTTAATAGTTTTAAGATGCATGTTAGCAAAAATTAAAAAAGAAAAAAAAAACTGAATAATTACATTCACATCACTCAACTTTGTTATTCAAAAATATAACACAGATTTTTTTTTTTTTAAATTATGGATGCGTTTATGCGTGATAAATCATTAGGGAATTTGATAACAATGAAAATTTTGAATTAGGGATTTATTATGATTTTTCATATTTTTGTGACAATTTTAAAAATGGTTGCAAGAAGAACAAATTTATAAATAGAAATTTTGAGTGCTTTGTATGTAATTACTCTGCCTTCATTTATATATATATATATATATATATACATACCGTTTGAATTCAACGTTTCAAAATTCGTTATGTTATTTCGATTTTGTAAGAATCAATTTTTTTTTTCTTTTCTTCTACCTGAATGATTTATTTCCTTCATTGTCGTGGTCTTTTCATATGTGCGATCTTTCCTTTTCTTCTTCTTGCCTCACCTTACTGACTTCCCGTTCTGTCAATCCCTTTGTTCTATAAGGGCAGGTTTGACTGCCTCGTCTCGATTTTACTCTCCTATCACTCTCTTTGTTCGACCAAAACTATCGCCTCTCACCCTTACCCCGAACGCTTGCAATACAACCGTGATTGGAGCTAGCAGAGAAGACAAGCGGGCAAAGAATTCTAAAACCGTCATAGCTAGTTAGGGGGTGTTAATCTTTGTTAATTGTAGTAGATTTGTAGTTATTCTATAGGATTGCCAGTCATACCATTATTACTTCAATTTATACTTGTTATAGGCTTCAATTATTACTCATAATGAATTTAATATCTTACTCTATTGTTGCATTTCCTATATATTTGAAATAATCCTACACTTATGACATTTTCTTTTTATGTACATTACTTATATGAAATTGTATATGTCATATCACAAGTCTGCATGACATATTATTGTTCTAACATATTATATATGTGGAAACAATTTAACATGTTTGTGTGTTATGATTTTGGTTAGACGGGCTAACATGTCCATAAAGTGACGACTCTACAAGAAATTATCTGGTTTCTTAGGTTGATATTGACCTTTTTGGTTTCAGGGTACCTGTTAAAACCGACTACATATAAATATGAATGAAAGTTTAATAATGAGTGACTTTATTGAAAATAATTGCATGTGTTGTTATGTTTTGCATATTTGATGTTGATCACTTTCTTGTCACTTTACAATATTATATACATGCACTTAGTGATCTTATTATCCATATTACTGCCATGTTTTTCTTGTTATTTATGATTTAATAGATAATTTTTATTTTCTGTGTTGTTTGTCAATTTTACTTTTTAATATTTTTACATAACAAATTTTATTCAACCACCAATAGCACTGTCACCATCGGAACAAGCTCTTCAATTTTAGTTTTTCCCAACTTAGTTTTTTTTCAATATTTACCTTTACTATTATATTTGTTTCATGTTATTATTTATATTTTGTTTCAGCTAGTTTATTTTTTTCAGTCCAGTTATATCTTGAACTTTTTAGTATTAATGAAATTTATATTTCTCTTTTTAATTACATGCAAGTTTTTTTATTTTTTGAGAATACAAGATAGTTTTATTTAATTTTATCATGTCCTATATTATCGGGGTGAGCTGCTTTCTGAATACAAGAGGATATGACAGACTCAATACGTTACCCATTCTTACACAAATGCATATATAATTTTTAATGCAAAAAATCTTCTAATTATAAGTGTTTAGTTATATAAAAAACAAATCCACTTGTTAAAATCAAATTACGAGCACAAACATGGCATATAATTTAGAATAATTTTAGTCGCCTATCAAATAGATGACATAATTTCGACATTTATATACATACTACAAAATTCTTAGATAGATGCTTATACATCTATCTAAACTTTGTTATATGCATGACATAATTTTGACATTTATATACATACTACAAAATTCTTATATGCTTATACATCTATCTAAACTTTGTTATATGCATACCATTTGAATCCTTAACACTTAACATCACAACAAAAAAATATTAATAAAATTAATTTTTACAAAGTAAAATATATATTTAATAACATTTATAAATATAAATATTAAAATTAATATGGCAGATATGTAAATACATATGAATTGTGAGGTACATATGCAAATTTCCTTTCCCTATATTTTAAATTAATTACGCAGATAGGGAAACGACCTAGTAAACTTCTCCAGCAAGCGGGAGAAACATCGCGAGGCTTCCAGAAGAAAGACGTAGCATCCCAAGGAAGCTGAGGCCGTATCAGAAGTGGAGATTCAGGCGGCGATAGAATCCCCGAAGAGAAAAAGTAATTTGATCAGAATTGAAAATGGCGAATACGATACGAAGGAAGCTGAGGCCGTATCAGAAGTGGAGATTCAGGCGGCGATAGAATCCCCGAAGAGAAAAAGTAATTTGATCAGAATTGAAAATGGCGAATACGATACGAAGGAAGCTGAGGCCGTATCAGAAGTGGAGATTCAGGCGGCGATAGAATCCCCGAAGAGAAAAAGTAATTTGATCAGAATTGAAAATGGCGAATACGATACGAAGGAAGCTGAGGCCGTATCAGAAGTGGAGATTCAGGCGGCGATAGAATCCCCGAAGAGAAAAAGTAATTTGATCAGAATTGAAAATGGCGAATACGATACGAAGGAAGCTGAGGCCGTATCAGAAGTGGAGATTCAGGCGGCGATAGAATCCCCGAAGAGAAAAAGTAATTTGATCAGAATTGAAAATGGCGAATACGATACGAAGGAAGCTGAGGCCGTATCAGAAGTGGAGATTCAGGCGGCGATAGAATCCCCGAAGAGAAAAAGTAATTTGATCAGAATTGAAAATGGCGAATACGATACGAAGGAAGCTGAGGCCGTATCAGAAGTGGAGATTCAGGCGGCGATAGAATCCCCGAAGAGAAAAAGTAATTTGATCAGAATTGAAAATGGCGAATACGATACGAAGGAAGCTGAGGCCGTATCAGAAGTGGAGATTCAGGCGGCGATAGAATCCCCGAAGAGAAAAAGTAATTTGATCAGAATTGAAAATGGCGAATACGATACGAAGGAAGCTGAGGCCGTATCAGAAGTGGAGATTCAGGCGGCGATAGAATCCCCGAAGAGAAAAAGTAATTTGATCAGAATTGAAAATGGCGAATACGATACGAAGGAAGCTGAGGCCGTATCAGAAGTGGAGATTCAGGCGGCGATAGAATCCCCGAAGAGAAAAAGTAATTTGATCAGAATTGAAAATGGCGAATACGATACGAAGGAAGCTGAGGCCGTATCAGAAGTGGAGATTCAGGCGGCGATAGAATCCCCGAAGAGAAAAAGTAATTTGATCAGAATTGAAAATGGCGAATACGATACGAAGGAAGCTGAGGCCGTATCAGAAGTGGAGATTCAGGCGGCGATAGAATCCCCGAAGAGAAAAAGTAATTTGATCAGAATTGAAAATGGCGAATACGAATCACAATCACCAGAGTTGGAGGAGGAGATCACAAAAGATGAGGAAGTAGCATCGATGGTGGAAGTCAAGAGGGAAGGAGGAGGAGAAATAAGGGAGATGGTGGAGAGAATGGTGGTGGAGAACGAGAGACTGAAGGAAATGGTGGCTCAGCTTTGCGCAACGAGCTCCGAACAATGCAGATTAATGAAGGGTCTGGTCGATAGGGTTGAGCAACTGGAGCGCGTCGTCCATCATCGCATGGATCGACGGAAGAAGAGGAGGGGCGCTACTGCTTGCTCTGCGCTTTCATCGTCCAAGTAGTAATAAGTTATTGTGTTTTTTGCTTTCTCATCTGTATTGCAATGCTTCTACCGTTTTATTATATATGTAATTGGGCCGAAGGAATGGAGTTATTTTTACTCATGATAAGCAAGTTAACGAGTTAAGATATTTCGTTTTTGCAATCTTGAGGTTGTAAATTATCCATTAAAAATATGACAATTTGAAGGATATACAATGTGTGTATTGGTTAAGCCCAACTAGTCGTCACGATGTGGTTTTATAAACTCTCAACTAAAAAATATCATTGTCTTTAGATCTTGGTCCAAGTTATCCTGCACACACGTAATCTCATATTATCCTCAATCTAGATGCATGTACTATCTATTATTCTCCCATTGAGTCTAAAAAATAATTAGTTTGAGACTCGAGGCCCCTTTTGGAAGGGCCCGTTTTAGAAGGTAGGCTTACCCCACTTGAAAAAATTTTTACTATTCAAATTAGGAAAAAAAAAAAAAAAAAAATAAAAAATGAAAATGTGGAGAATAGAAGTGGTTGCTCAATAGTAATTGTAGTTTAGTTGTATTGATTGTAAATATATTTTTTGTGATGGTTTGTTGCCAGCGGTGTGCATTCGATTGTCATGGAGAGAGTACTTTGTTATAAATGTTGTAGTTGATGCTTGTAGCACTAATTTGTAGCATATATTATATTTAAAAGTTTGATAGTAGTTAGTCGTATGAATTGTTGATAGTTGTTTTAGGAGTGTTGATTGACCATAGGGACTGTTGTAGAAAGTTGCAGAGGTTGTGAGTTATGTAGTTTGTAGTTGGTAAAGCTGTGGTGAATTATAATAACACTGGTAGGTCGTAAATGCCAGAGCTATGAATTGTTGATTGCATAGGTTATGATTAGGTATGTCATTGGGGTGAGCTATGATGATACCTGTAGGCCGCAGAGACAGGAGTTGAGAGCTGCTCAAGCTGTAAGTCATGTGGGTCTTAGTTAGTCACAGTTGTTATAGTGTTAAGTTGTGATAACGTCCATAAGTCACATGGATTGGAGTTAGAAGTCATATTTATATATATAGTAGTTGGTTACATAGGTTAAAATTGTGAGTTGTGATGAGGTTCGTAGGCTGTAGTGGTCGAAGTCTGCGAGTTGCATATATTGTGATGAAATCTATTGGTCACATAGGTCGAAATTGGGAGTTACATAAGCTGTGATATTATTTTTAGGTTGTAGAACTCGGTTGTATGAGTTGTGATAGTATTCGTGAGTCGGAGTGGAGAGGTGCACTAGTTGTGACAACATATGTAGGTCGCCAAGGCCGACGTTGGGAGCTGCACAAGCTGTAACAACATATGTAGGTCGTAGTTGGTCGCATAAGTTATAGTAGCAAGTTATGATGTCATCTGTAGGCTGTAAAGACTAAAGTTGGGAGCTATATGAGTTTTTACCTACATAGGTCATAGTTGGTTACATTAGCTATGGTGGTGAGATGCAATGATGTATGCAGACTACAAGAGCCAGAGTTAGAAGCAACATGAGTTGTTATAATATTTGTAGACCCCATAGCTTTTAGTTGGAAGCTTCATAAGCTGTGATAATTTTAATAAACAACAAAGGTCAGAATTGCAAACTGTAATTACTGTGATGACATTTTTAGACCATAGAGATTAAAGTTGGGAGCTACACAAACTGTGAACTATGTAAGAGGTAGTTGGTTACGTAGTTCGTATTGGTGAAATGTGATGAAGTTTTTAAGTTGCAATGGCCGAAGTCGGGAGTTGTAGGAACTTTAAGCCACACATGTTGTAGTTAGCCACATAGGTTGTAGAGAGGAGATAACTTTAGGAGTTTGGAGAAAGTCATTATTTTTGGGTGCATTTTTACATAATCTTCAAAATGCGTTGTTGCACTGTATGTGGTTTGCGTTGTTACATCGTATTTTGGTAGTGTCAAAGTCATATGTGGTTTGTGTTGTTACTCCGTAATCAGGGTGTGATTGCAATGTATGTGGGACGTGTCGTTACATCGTTTTTGGAATGAGTCGTTGCATCGTATGTGTTACATTATTACATTGTCGCTGGAGTGTGTCAATGCACTGTATGCGGGGTGCGTTATTGTGTTGGATGGGTTATTATACCGTCTTCGAGAGGTGTCGTTGCATCATATGTGGGTTGTGTTGTTAGATCATCATTAGGTGTTGCTGCATCATATGCGTGACACATTATTACGTCGTATTCAGAGGGAGCGTGTCATTGCACTGTGTATTGGATGGCAAATTGTTCCGTCAGATACTTTACTATTCTACAATATATGTTGTGATTCTGCAACACACGTGACTCTGCAAGGGATTCTACGGCAAGGAGCATGAGGTAGTCGATGATGGTCGATGGAAGCTGGTGAGCAGTGGTTGACAGCTACACGAGTGAGAAGCATTTTTCAGATCCTTCAATATAGAAACAACACTATGCTTCAGCTTCTTCCGGTCCTTCTTTAGGCTCAAAATTAGGTCTCCTCTCAAGTGGAAAGTGAGACTCTATTTATAAAATCTGGGAGAGGCTTCTCTAAAATAAAGGAAGGAATTCAGGCCACTATATCAGACAATCCGTAGAGATTCCTCCAATCAATTGATATTCAGTGAACATTTGAGTGTCTTAATGAAGCCAAATTAAGTTATTTTGGGTTGGTTGGTTGGATTCTTCTCACTGAGATGTTCAATTTGATTATAAGCTTGTTAGATTTTGGATTCATTTACCTTTCAATCATGCACTGAAAGTTTTCAAAAGTAGTTTAATGGATTGATATGAGCTTGATTTGACTCGAATTAAACTAATTATGATGTGTGTGTGTGTTTGTGTGTGCGTGTGTGTGTGTTTGTGTGTGCGTGTGTGTATTTACTATATGTATATATATGTAAAAATGGAAAAAACCTCATCTCGTGTTGCCCCTCTTTCTATGTGACCTAAGTTTGATCCCTACCGTTATAAAATTATTTTTTCCACAACAGGTTAGATTAGTGAGTTGGTGTGGTGTGTTGGCGCGACAAATTGATGGGACTAGAGCAAGTCAGCCGACAAGGGCAACAACTGTAGTGGTGTCGACTGAGCGAGTCAGGACCGTATTCTGGGTTGTGCGATCACATAACACCTATGTGTCTACGTTGCGCGCGGATCGTGATCTGTAGTACAAAGTCATGCAGATCGCATGAGAGAGTCGTTCGATTGGGTGATTCTAGTGGGCTTCTGCGAAAACACTCGGATTTTGATCCTTCTTGGACATTTTTTTACCTTTTTTTGTGGATTTTGGCTATTTTGAGCCTATAAATAGGCTAAAAACATAAGAAAAAATGTGGAGTCTCCCAACCTATTTGTGCAACCAACAAGGCTCCCATAAGAGAAAAGATGAAGTTCCCCCAAATTGTTTGTGCGATTTCCCAGAAGAAAGAAGGCTGGGCTGAGTCCCTCGACCTGTTTGTGCAATCAATGAGGAGTTCCCCCAAATTGTTTGTACGATTTCCCAGAAGAAAGAAGGCTGAGTCCCTCGACCTGTTTGTGCAATCAATGAGATTTCAAGAAAAAAAAAAGTGAAGATCGCGAGCTTATTTTTGTGCGATTAATGGGGTTCCCATTTCATGTTATCGTCGTCCTTGCAGGAAGGGATTTCCTGCACTACTGTAACATTTTATATCCCTTCCTGCACTACTGTAACATTTTCTAGAGAAGATTTCCTTTAATGCTGTTGTGATTTATGCCTGCACTACTGTAACATTTTATAGAGAAGATTTCCTTTAATGCTGTTGTGATTTATGGAGAAGATTTTTCATGTTGCTTAAATGCTATCCAGAGGTTATTCTCTAGGTTACTATCACGCTTTCTAGAGGGGATTTCACATGTTGTTGTCGTGCTTTTTGGGGGATATTTCTCACACTTTTATGATGGTCTTTGAAGAATATTTAATGCGTTGTTGTCATGTTTTTTGGATGAGGATTTATGTGTTGTTGAGTTATTGATATTTGGAGAATATTGTTCTAATAATAATCAGTAGAAGTACTAGAATTTTGTGGAGGTGATGCTGACAAAATTTAAAGATGAGCCGTCCATTTCTTTGAATGTATGGAAGGCTGAATTTGCAAATATCAACCATATCTTGGCGAGCATATGAAGAGTAACTCCTCGATTAGAATGTTTAGTCTTTGTAGGCTTTTTGAGCAAGGATGTTGTCTTTTGAAGAAAAAACATAAAGTTTTGATTTTCCTAACAATGAGGAGGATGTTGTAGTAGATTAATATCTTTATTTTTGTCGTCTTCTTGTCGGTTTTGTACCAAGATATGTTAGTCTTTATAATCTTTTAACTGCCCTATGTGACATTTAAACACGATAACAGTGATTTTGCATGTACATATTTATTCACTTGATATTATGGTATTGCATTTGTCTGTGTATATCTGAGCTTGTTTCGTGAAGCACTTCTTTTTGGGATCTTGTTGCTCAGCTTATGGGATAATATATTCATACAATAAACATAATGCAACTATAATTTTTCTCTTGCATCTTTTTCTATCAGTGATCTTTATCGTGTAATGTTTTAAGAACATTGAATCAGATTTAACTACATTTAACAAAAATATAACATATAACAAATATGTTACTGTTAGAAATAATCTGAAGTTGTTCAAATTTAGAAAAGAAAAACCCAAAATCCAAACAATAGAAAGTAGTCCATGAAATAAAACTAAAAAATTCATGCATCTCGATTGTCGTAATGATATTTTCAGTAATTAATCCTGCAACCAGCTTTCATCAACATGAAAAACTCTCCAGGTCGGATCTTTCAACAACCTCATGGAGAACAATTAAAACGACACGTCCTTATCAATTTTTGGAGTATATTTCAGAATTCTCATAGCCTACTGAACAGAAGTTGCATGTGACCCACTAGGCTCGCTGAAGCCACTAATTGGGAGATCCGACTTCTAATAAAAGCGACACCTTTTTTCTTTTTCTCGACCGTAAGACGTTTGGATCGACTAGTAGATTCTACTTCTTGTAGGTTGGTGTTGGATTTTTCATTGAACCCGACAGATTTCACTGCTTTTAAATGCTCAGATCAGGCTTCGTGCCCTCTCTCGCTTGGTGCCATTGCTTGCACACTT